ATCTATGACTAAATTCTTGCAAAATCTATGCAAATTCTTGCACAGATTTGTCAATTCACACTTTTTTTCAAAATACGCGAAGTACGTATGTAAAGGAAAAGATTTCGGCAGGAAAAAATAAAAAGGAATAAAACGCACCGCTTTTGCATCTTTTGTTTTCAAAGATCTCACCAAATCGCCTTGTTGAGCTATTTTCCTTGCAAATGTTTCCTTACACTCTACGATATCACATTTCAGTTTATTATCGCTTGGCGTAACAAGCATATTTTTTGGTTTATATTCCATCCCTGCCATTTCCTTATACTTTTGCTTCAAATCCAAAAGCTTCGCTATAGCTACTTTTGCTTCTTCGCTTTTTGGATTCGCTGCTTTTAATGTACGAACTATATTGCCTGTAATTCAATTCCAGACTCAAAAATCCTAAAAAATTGTAAAAAATTGGTAATCACTGATCGGAGTAAACAATGCTAAACAGAGTAATCTAGAAATGAAATAATGCCAGTTTACAAAGGGAGTGCAAGCTAACTTAACTGAAGTTCGAAAGTCACTTCTAGTCGCTAAATAAGAACTGAACAAACTTTAAAAAATGTGCTGGGATCAAAACAAATAATGACCCTTCACATATATTTTCAAGTAAGAATCATTTATAATTTATGACAGCGCTTGTAAAAAATCTTTCAAAATTACGGAATTTTCCGAAAAAACTTAAAAGTTCTAGCAAGCACATTTCTTTACAAAAGAATATAATCTACATAATAATTTCTTAGCTACCACATTTCTACATCTACGGAATTTGGTGAAATTCATGAAAATTGAAATCAAAAAAAAATTTTGATGGAATTAATGGAAAAAAATTGCGCATGAAAAAGTTAATTTATTTTCAAAATACCTTGTTCCCCAATTTGTTTGAACAGCTCCTCTATGCTTTTTCGTTCCGTCATCAGTTGCTTTTGTTCTTGCGATGAAATTGTTGACGTTGGCTTATATTCTGAACCGGTCCTTTCCTTGTACTGCTTTTTAAGATCCAGTAACTTTGATATGGCAGCTTTAGTTTCATCACTTTTAGGATTAGCAGCTTTCAAAGACCGAACAATCTTTCCTTGTTCTTCAATGATCTGATACAAGTCTTTGCCATTGTCTGATGAGAGTAGTTTGTCAGCATTGTTATTGTTCGCAGACAATTCTTGATAAGCTTTTTTTAGATTCAAAAGAACAGCAATCGCTTCTTTAGTTTTCATGCCTTTCGGGTCAGCTGCTTTCAAGGATCTGACCAAGTCACCTTGCTCCTTTATTTGCTCACCAAGTTTATATATGTCCACGTGACCTGGGAAATTCAAGCGTTTGAAAAATTTTTAGATCTAATGTATAGAATAGAAAAAAGGGACAAAGAGCACTAAAGAGGAGGTTGTAATCACAAGCAAAAAAACTTCAAATTCATAAGCATATTCTTCAATATTCACATCTCTCATGTCATAAATTTTTTGAATCTACCAAACAAAATGACTTCAAAAGAGAAAACTGTCAAAACTAAAACTAACTTGCTGATGCATTTTCATTTATTTGAATGCTACTGTGCGTCATTTCCAATTTTGCGGTGGAAGAATTCTCCTCTGTCGCCTAAAATAATAACACATTAATTAATCTAGAACAGTAATTCAAACTTATCCATAACATACATCCTGAGAGTCAAAGATGATGTACCAGATCAGCAAATAAATCCGCAACAATCATTTATCATTTCTGTTTACTTTGTTCTCTAAACATTTCATTTTATTTTGAAGGTATTTCAACTACCGTTTGAGTTAGTTTAACAGATTTATTGCTGCCATCTGGTATGAGAATAAGAACAATCGGCACTTCAACTCCAGAATATTCGCTTTTTGACGTATATGCTGAATCGCATATACAGTATCCTTTACGTTGCAACTGGATAATATCACCTTTACGTATTTCTTTCATGGCAGGTTCACCAATGAAGTCGAGATATTTCTGGAAGTCACATTATGATGTTGACATTTCGACGTGATAACTTCATTAGTTTTACTTCGTATCATTTAACTTACATGAATTTAGGAAATACAAAAGTTCTAAAATCATAAAACATAACACAATTAAATCTTAATCTGTATAGTTGGGTTTTATTACTTAAATAAATTAAAATGAAAAAAAACCTAATTAATTATGTTTTATTAGTTATTCCCCTTTTATATTCTTATCGTTATGGGAATAAAAAAATAACGAAAAGCGGTCTTTGTACTTAATGTTCGAACCATGGCATTCATCCATTAAATATTAATAAAGAGTAATAATGTGAGAAACATATTCGAATATAACATACCATAGAATCATAATTGACGAACTGCTTCCAGTCTTCTTCTTTCCCAATAACAGCCTTACTGATAATATGAGAATACTCAATGATTTTTACCGGAATCTGTGGTCCTAGCATCGTATCAGCAATCCACGTTACTTTTAATGTCTTTTTGTAATCCTGCATTGCTATTTAACATTAACATGATTGTGCTAAATTCGTAGTACTTCCAAAAATACGACAAGTTCAGGATTGAAATTAGTTCAGAAAATTAATTAGCAGGAAAGACAAAAATTATAGTCAAATTCCTTGATCCAAAGTGACGGGAATTTCATGAATTCACTTGAAGCTTCTCATATTTTAATAATGAGAGACCAACAACAGTACTCTCAAAAGAGCACGTCGTATGTTTCGTCAAATGGTGATTAACTATCGACAAGGTTTGGCGTCAATTATCAATCATTAAAGTTAATTCATCAATTGACCAGGTTTTCGGTAACATAAAAAGGAAGAACCAAGAGAGAGAGAGCAACAAACCTTGTTTTCTAAATCTAATTTTGCTTTGATTTCTGTTATTTTATCACCGTCTTTTAATATGTCACAAATTTTAATATTTCCCCAATTGATAAATGTCACCGTATCACCAATTTTCATTTCCCGTGCATCAACTTCTTCCACCAAAATCTTTTTACTATACCAGACAGTTTTCGCCCCAACTTCAATATTCTGGAACAAAATTCTTGAGCAGCTAAAAAAATCAATAAAAACAGAAGAAATTAATGATGGTTACAAAGAACTATTGTTTTATCCTGAAAGGATATTTCGCCAAAGCTCCCCAATAAATGCTCTAAACACTTCTACAATAGAAAAATAACCAAACAGAGAAATTGCAGCGAATGAAAAGATGAAGAAACGCTTAACACTAGAAATCATATGATTTTGTAATAAGTACATAAAAGTTATTGATAGGTAGGACATGAAGAAGAACATTCTCTTTTATAAATCGATATAATAGGAAAGGACAGAAGCCTTCAAAGTGAAATGTTTGGAAATTAATAAAATAACCTTTGGATGTAAAGATACTTTCCTTGACTCTTCAGCCATATCATCCATAACTGTTACTTGAACAAGGTTTTCTGCACAAGCAAGAGCAGTATAACGAGGAGCAACTGGATCAATCACCTAAAAATCAATGCAAAATGTTAATCCTTCACTTTTTCATCAAAGAAAAAATTAATTGTAAGAATTTGTCTTTTTGTATAAAAAACTATTGCAAATATAGCGAAATTTTTAAATCAAAAACAATATCCGAATATATATCTGTCTGCGGTAACTTGCCAAATGATCATGGAAAACATGTAAATTTTCCAAATAAACAGACCTTTTTATTGAAAGACCAGATTTTATCCCATTCCATCATGACGATGGCACGACTACCACCTTGAGCAACAATAAACTGTTTCAAGCCTTCAACCGTTAAACCGCGTCGCATTACACCTCGCACAGTTGGCAGTCGTGGATCATCCCTTTAAGAAAATATGACTTTTCATGATGTACGCAAGCTACAGTTTCGTTTCTCACAATTTCATTTACTTAAAAATAGATGTTTTGATTTCGGTGAAAATAACCTCTAAAAAGAGCAAAAAAGTAGGGAAAACAACAGCAAGTGTGATACAAAAACTATGAATGAATGAGAAAGAGGAAGAGATGGCGAATAAAGTTATGTGAAAGCAGAAAAGAAAAACGAAGTAAGTTTGCCGAATGACAACAAAAAACTTTGATTAAATTCCCTCAATTATGATTGAACTTATCAACTTCATGGAATTTGGATGCATCGGTAAGCCAGTCTGTTGTACCATCATTAGTGTTTCTAGTAATTCCTTGCAAAAATCAGAAATCATGTCAAAGCTTAAAACTGGTTTGAGAATGAGATGCATACAGTCTCTATCTCGAAATTCTACATAAGCAGTACCTACTACACTCATGAAGACATTGTATAATAATAACTCTTACCATCCTTCTACATGATGTTCATCGACAAGCCATGTAAGTTTCCGTTTACTCATTACGGTATTTGTCATATTTAATCGAGCATATGACCAAATATATGGTTTTCTAAGTCCTAGTACGTCACAAATAAAATAGTACTGCTCATCACGATCTGTATATTCTGTAGTACGAAGAGCATGTGTAACACCTTCAACACTATCCACTATAGGACACGCAAAATCGTATGTTGGATAAACCCTGCAATAAACAAATTATAGAATTTCTGGTATAAAATCATCGAAAAAGTCCTACTTTTTTGAACTTCATTTATAGCAGCAGCATTAAAAGTGCCATTTCGTCACATGAATGTGCAGGTATGTATCAGTCCTCAAGAGGTACAATGCTATCAAACCGGTGGTAATAATAGTTGCTGTAATATACCAACAACTAACTTATATTTATTTCCAGTTCGAACATGAGTTTCTGCCCTACAGCGATAAATTGTTGGGTCACGCATTGCGCCGTTGTTGCTTTGCATATCAATTTTGATTCGAACACAACATTTTTGTCCTTTTTCAGTTGCTTTTTTCATTTCTCCCCACAACGCCAAATTTTGCTCCGGAGCTTCAAATTTTTAATGGAAAAACATGGTTTGATTTAATCCCCCATTATCTATTTCGACTCTTCTTCCCTATTGGAACCTTGGAACGTGAAATGCATTGTATTGTGAAACATTGATTGGTAATACCGCAAATTTTGTCATTTTTCATCAAACGAATCCACATTTCTAGTAGCAAAGGAATATACAAATATGGAATATTTAAATAAGGAATTTAAAATCCTAATAAGTATTCCAATACCGATTTACCCAAATAAAACCTTCATTTTTTTCAATCAATTTATCTGTGGTTAACTTAAAACACTGGTAAAAACCAATGATTTCCTCATTTTATTAAAATATTAAACAAACGGACTTACTATTATTACGGCATCGGCTTTCCTTACGCTCTTCGCGTTCTTTCCTCATCAACTCGGCGTCTGTATCGTCAACATATGCTTTCCCTTCTTGCAACAAACGATCACACATTTCCAATATCAAATCAAAATAGTCAGATGTATGTGTCCATCTGTCTGGTTTCACTTCTAACATTTTCAAATCTTCCAAAATCACCTAAAATGAGATTTGAAAATCCCTTTCGTACTGCAATATTTGATAAAATGGCTTATTTGTATTATCCAACTTAATGTCCTAATTTACAATATACTTTCGTCTTATGCTCGTGCAGTTCCAATTTTCCAATGATAAATCCTCCGTTTAAAATACTATTGTGTATGATGGATGAGATGAAAAACTTTCTTGGATTTTAAAGTAATGGAATTGGACTAGTTTAAATTCCCAGTTAAATTGCTTTCAGTCACACAAAGATCACGAACTTGCTCAAAATGGGCATTCTCTTTTGCTGGATTCGTATCATCAAATCGCATAATCAACTTCCCTTCAAAAGCCTGCTGATAATACTGATTTAAAAGAGCTGCTTTAGCATGTCCGATGTGCAAATATCTGAAAAAAAAGAGAAAGATGTATTTGGAATGTCCTTTCTTTTTTAGACCAGATAAATCCGTGAAAATATCATTTACAACAGAGGTGGAAATACTTACCCACTGGCTTCCGGTGGGAATCGAACAACCACTTTTCCTTTTTCTGCACCTGGCAATTCTATAAATTTCCCCTCGTCCTTTACTTGATCTTTTGCTTTCTTCCCTTCACCACTTTTTTTTGCTTCATTTTGGCCTTTGACAGCTGTTGTAATTTTCTGAAACATTCAATATATTTAATTCAAGAAGTTGGCAGTTTCAAGTTCCGTGTGATGGACCCTAATCATAATTAAAGGAAAAACTGAAGATAATACCGATAAAAGTATGGAGACAATCAATTCCTATTCCATTAAAGAATATGAAGTGATATGCCGGAACTGGTCGCGCAAAAGAGACCCATGATTATTTAACCTCCTAACAAGTACGGTGCTTCAAGAAAAAAAAATCACGTAAAAATACTGTACTTACCGACTTCATTATTCTGTTTCCTGACTTTTCTGGAGTTCCTGTTTGAAATTTGCCAACAGCATTATGTGCATCAGCAAATAAAGGATCATGTAGTATATTTTCGAAGAGTGCCGAGAAAGGCTTCTGTTGTTGAGTCTGGAAAATTTTTTGTTGCTCTCCTTAAAAGCGTATAAAGAAAGAAGTATAAAGGTATTTTCATTCTCGAAATCAGATAAAATGACTGTTCTAATAACATAGTCGATATGATAAGTCAGACGCAATAAATTTCAGACCTACCGAAGAAAGCATATAAATTTTTCATAACCATGATGAGCACAATATCTAGAATTATTACCTTAGCATCTGCAGCTATAATGGTCCACAGCATAATATCCGCAAGCGTAAGTCGATTTAGGCACAGATATAGACTAGTTTTTAATTTTTCTTCAGCTGATTTCATCAAATCTCCCAGAATACCATGCTGTAAATACCGTTCGACCATTGTTACCCAGCAATCAACCTAAACAGAGAATTGACAAACATCACAGGTATAATACAGTTCTTATGATCCAGCTCCATCATTCAGAGGAATGTTTCTCAGAGATTTAAACTGGGAAATTAATAAGAACATCCATGAACAGATGGTAGCAAACCGCTAATGTTGAATAATATTAAGTGAAAAAAAATTAAATGAACCACAAATGGGATATAGAAAAACATACTTCAAAAAATTGAAACTAATCGTGAAACTGATTGCCAAAAATGAGAGCTTTAAAATATGAAATGAAAATATTAGTCATCCGACACGTTCTTTCCATAACATAAAAAAGTGATTACCTCAGCTTGTTCAATAACATCTCTACCAAACAAATCACCGGCCTTATCAGAACTGCGTACAATGAAACGTGCAATGGAAGCGTCATTTGTGTATTTCCTTTCATCTCTGGAACGAGAAACAGAATGATTCATGAAGAGGAGAGCTATGTATTATTAAATACACAAATTGATTTTAATGTTATATACTACAAAGTTACGATGAATGCAACATAAAAATCGTCCCTGCAGGTTCATAAGTTATGAGTTGGGCATGTGAATTTTCAATCAAATCAGCTTTCAATTCCTGCGTTTCACTGATGATAATATATAAAATTGATGACAACATGTTCCGTGAAAATCTTTCGTTACTACAAAGAACGTGACAAAGAACGAGTTGTTAACTAGAAGTAAGGCCAAACAACATCTTCAGTTCTAGTGTTCATTCAAAAGTCCTAATGCTGAAAGGATAATTTAAATTCAAAACCCTAAAAAAGCAAAAAACAAACAACTCAACATTCGAACTTACAGCATCATTTCGTTAAGCATTTCGTCAGTGAAAACAACCGATTTTTCAACGCTGAAACCGGAAGCAGAAAGGGCAAGGAGAGCTCCATAAGCCGGGTTTCTACGTGAAATGCTGAATATCACTGTCTTTTGTTCAGCTGACTCGAGAGATGCATCAGTACCAACCATTTGACCAGATCCAACTAGGAAATACATTGGTAATACATCATACTTTCTCCCTCAGCATCAATGATAATTTCCAGTCTTTGATTGAAAGGAAATAACACTAACAAATCCCTCCATGGAACAACGCAAATTTTCTCCTATCATGCAACATATTTCAAGAGTTATTCACAAATCCATTTAAACAATGCATAAAATAAGAACAAATAAATGCAGATGAAATATAACTGCAAACGCAATACAAGTAATCATGAAAACTTTTATACATTCACATCAAAACAAGAAAATGTTGTACAAAAACGTAAAAAAATTGTATAAAAAAGCATCGTCCAAGGGCTATTTCTCTCGTTCTTTCTGCTGCTTTCGTAAAACTGCACCAGGAGCAGGATAAGGCCGTTGCTGGAATAGAGGACCACTAGCTGTAACATCGGCACCTGTTTTGTCGTGGGCATGTAAACCGGAACTCCAAGTACCACTGAAAATTTTCCAATGGAGAAAAAATGTGAATGAGTGCTTGGAAATACCTATAATTTAAAGTTAAGGGAGAAAAATTCGTAACTTGAAAGAACACATACACAGGAACGTTGTCACCGTAGGCAGCTGGGTCCATTGGATCAATTCCTTTTCGTTTCGCACGCTCTGGGAAATACATACACATTTGCGAAAAAATTCAACTTAAGGTTTAGTAACATACATTTCACTAATATTATTTCAAGAATTCAAGAATATTTTGTTTAGCACATATATGATATAAATCATAGACACACTTTTATTAGCACATATGATTTTTGTTCTAGATTTCAACGCATAAACTATCCTAAAATTCAAGCAATGTGATGACAGGAATTACTTTAATTACATTTTAAATTGAATTCTGAAACAGAAATGCATTACCAGAAATACATTCCTGTTTCAGAAAAAATAAAGCCAACGAAACTCACTCAGTTTATCCCTATCGTTCAACTCAGGCCTGCTTTCTTCATCACTTTCAGAAGCCGATAAACGATCGTTAGCTTCAGAATCTGATAAGGAACCTCGTCTCTAAAACGAAAGCAAATTATTAGCAAAAAATTACTTTCCACCTTTTATTTTTCCATTAAAAGAGAGTTATCAAATCAAACCTTTCTCTTCGATCTGTTATCATCATACCGTTTGATTGTGCCTCCGCGATCCTCTCTGTAAACTTCTCTTCTCTCATCATCCTTCTTTTCATCATTATCCTTTCTACCTTCGCCAAGACCATTAGTATTTTCGCCTTTTTCAAATAATTCTGAAAAACAATGATTACACTGCGTTTCAAAATCAAACAAGAAAATTGATAAACTGATTCATTTATATATTTAGTCCAAAACTGAGTTAAGCAGAATTGGGTCAAATGAAGCTAAATTAAATTGAATGAAGTCCAAACCTTTCGCAACTTTCGGCGCGGCATCCCCAATAACCGCCAAAGGATGTCTAGGAGGAAGCCAAGATACCTCATCAGTTCGTGGACACCAGTAATAATGTCGTGCGCAACCAGGATCGTAAACCTCTTTCCAACCTACAAAGCAACAGACTCAAGAGAAAAATTTAAAGAAAAAATCCATATTCAACAAAAAAAAAAAAAACCTGCATAAAACGAATTTAACTACTATTCTTGCAAACATACCATTCGGCAACGGATATTTCTTCAGGATTTTAGTTCGTTGATCAAGATATTTTTGTGCAAGTCTGAAAAGTGGAAATTTACTTGTAAGTACATTTGTAATATAATCACTTCTTGTAAACAAAAAGATTTTCAACTGCGCTTAAATATTCATGTACCAATAAATTGATTAGACATACGGAAAGTTTGCTTTTTATTTAATTAAAAGGACTCGAATAACTTGCACAGGATCCACGTCTGTCGACGTGGTTCTGCTCCTTCCAAATCTTACCTGTCGCAGTAGGTGCAATTTTTCCGTGATTTCAAATATGCCATTAAAGCGTGAGACAGTTTTAATCACTACAAAAACATTTACAAAACGACAATTTAAGCAAGTGGAACTGAAAAAAACAACCTATTTTCACTTGTCCCATCCTTCCAATAATCATAACAAAACTGCACGCAATAATGATATGGGTTCCACTTATTCGGACATCCCCGAGCTCCTGAAGCATTCTTTTCCGTCTTTTGACGTGTGTTACTTTGTACTCCAGCAGGTGTTTCCGCATCATAATTCTCAGCGATCACTTCTTCAGCAGCATCTACAAATATAAATCATTTGTTATCGATGTTAGCGAACCTTGATAAGCTTTGCTCAGAAAGTTACATTCAATTCCAACATTTCCGCAATAATTATCAGCAGAAGGAAAGCAATGTTAC